CTGCTGTCCCAGCCCTGGGCTCCCCCACTGCAGCTCCTTCCTAGCTTGCAGTTTCTGTCTATTGCTTTGATTGAGGGTTGTGTTGGGAGCCCCCAGTCTGGGCCTCTCTCCTTGGCTTCATCTTTGCCTCGGCTCTGTGTCTCTCCCAGCCCTGTCCCCCGAGGGTTGTGTTTCCTGGGACACTCTTTCCTCGTTATACCCATGCTGTGGCCGGGATCTCACCTGGTCCCTATCAGCATTGGGGAGCAGCCATGGGGTCTGGGCTGGGCAGGTTTCTACCTACGACAAGATGGAAACTCCTTGGCATGGGGCTGTCATGGTTCGTTATCTGCCGGGAGCAATGCAATCGGTATCTGCAGCAACATGGAGTCACATTTATTATTCAGCTGGAATCTGGCATCAGAGAATCCTCAGGTTGGCTTGGCAAAGCTGAGCTGAAGGCAGAGGTTGTGTTGGCAGCAACAACTGCCTCAATACCCCCAGCTCTGTGGGATCCGTCTTGGGTGTCCTTCCTTTTGTCTCTGCGTTCCCGTGTGACTTCCTGGGATGCTGAGTCTCTGGGGTTCTCACACATTCACCTCCCTCGCACAGTCACCTCCCTCGCACGCTGTGACTTTGTTCCAAGCTGTAGCAGAGCTGTGTCCACATCTCCTGCTCCCTTGTATGCCAGGCAGTCAGTGCTAAGTCACTGGCAAACCGTGGAGTTAACATTGCCCAGAGGTTCCACGCACCCTTCTACAATGTCGAGCCCAGCAAAACTCTCCCATCTGAAAACCAAGCAATGAGGAGTTAAGGTGCCTGCCAATGGTCCTTAACCCTGCCCCTGGAGCTGCCAAGAGCGCCTGGGCTCCAGCTGTCCTCAGCGTGTTAGGTGTCGCTCTACTGAATGAGGGAGGGGTTAGTTGGAGCAGCTCGGCAGAGCTGTGACTGAGACAAGGTGGTTTCAGGGGGCTGTTCCACTTGGCGGAGGTGAGTCCCTCTTTCTGCCACCAGGTGTGTGATCAAAGGAAAGGTGCCCGGGTACCCTGAGAGATCCATTTCACCTCCTTATAGCACTGAGTTGTGCACGTTGTGTCACTAATGGGGCACGGGGTCTTCTTGCCAGGGGGATTGTCATCAGTGAGGTGGGCACGAATGAAAGGTAAATGACAGTGTAGTGTTAGATGGCATCATGTACCTGAGGGGGATGAGGTTGAAGGGATTGTAAAATTGAGCAGATGTGATGTGGAGCAGGATCAAGCCGTCTCTACACTGAAAACGCTGCAGCGACAGTTCTTACGCCCTCCTAGTTCTGTCTGCACGGGGACTTAGGGCGGTGTAACTACATCCTTCTGGAGTGGGGATTTTTCACCGGCTCAATCTACCTCTGTAGTGTAGACCAGCCCTTGGTGTTTGTGTTCAGGGTAAGGGTAGGGAATCCCTGTTCAATACAGTGCAACGACAGAGTGTGAGTAGGTGTGTTATGGGTGTATCGGGGCATTGCTTACCCCCCTTCACCACGTACACTTGGTAACAGTGGAATGGGGATAATGCTCGTGCTTTGTAATGTTTGGAGCATGTAGTTGGTCTATGACCCAAAAACTTGGTGGCTATTTATTACATGTATAATACATGTGTAATTACATCTCCCCTCCTCCACCATCTCCTGCAACTTACAGCCCCCATCCCCTGTCTTCCCACCAGAATTTCCACCTCACTCTCTCCTTCCCATCCCATTAAGGCATCAGCATTTTTGAAGGCAGGTGCAGAGCCGATGGAAGGAAGTTTCATGCCCTAGGTGAAACTTACACCTTGCGCCCCCCCACCAGCCCTGCGGCAGCTCCCCACCCCCCCTCCACCCTGAGGCACCCCCCCTGGGGCAGCTCCGCCCCCCACCCTGAGGCACCCCCCCTGCGGCAGCTCCCCACCCCAGCTCACCTCTGCTCCGCCTCCTCCCCTCCCAGGCTTGCGGCGCCAAACAGCTGATTGGTGCTGCAAGCCTGGGAGGTGGGAGAAGTGGAGCGGCGACCACACACTCGGGGAGGGGGCGTAGGAATGATGTAAAAAAAATTGGGGGCACTGCTTTTTGCGGCCCCCAAATCTTGGCGCCCTAGGAAACCGCCTAGTTTGCCTAAATGGTAGCACTGGCCCTGGACAGGTGTGCACAAAAATATTTGGTAAAAGATGTGAACTTGAAGAAAAGCTGTTTTTTCAGATGGCAGGTGGCTGTAGTTCAGGAACCTCTTGTTCAAATGGTCTCAAATGTGGGTCGGTAACCCTATATCAGATCCGCAGGAGGCCCCCCAAATTTCAAGACTATCCAAGGAAGCATGGGGATTTCAGAGCACTTAGAAAAATTGGTTTTAAACAGAAGCCTTCTCTATTTTAACCATAGCTGACATGGCACTCAGCTGTAAAATTGTATTAAATTAATCAGCAGCAGCTGCTTTGCTATCTCCAGATCCCTAGCCTGGGACAATCCTGAAAGTACAGGAGGCTCTGAACAGTGTGACGGGGCCCATGGATCTCGGTGTGATGGTATCCGCTGAAGGAGAGCACTGTTACCAGATGTGCCCATTACTTTGGGGTATGGTCATTTATTAGGGTTACTCCTCGGGGGGGGGGGGGGTCTGTAATTCTATTAATGTACTGCTTATGTCACTTGTGTCTTCATACGGAGCTCTGCTCCTTCCTTCTGCAAGTCCCCTCCCAATGGAGCTATCCTGCAGGACCTAGGTTCCCCAGGGCTGGGTTCCTCCAGCCCTAGAACCAGATAAACGCAGACACACAGACACACTAACAGAGCAAGTCTGAGAGTGGTCAGTGGCTGTCTGTGCTTTGCCTGGGCTGCTTGCCAGGGTGCAGAGCTCCATAGGTGCAAGTCGGGCCTCATTTGCAATAGAGTAAGGGGGCATTTCCCCCCCTGGGCCTTGGTACCCCCCCCAACTTTTCATGGGTCTATCTGCTCCACTTTTTGCCCCACTTTGCATTGCAGGATATTATCACCTGTAATGTTCAACCCCCCACCCCCTGAGTTTTTCTGAAATGACACCTCTGGTGTTGGGGTCCCTATGTGGGGGCTGAAGCAGGGACTCCCCTTCGACAGGGTCCCCAGTGTGCAACCTGGACTATGGGACCACTAAGTACTCCAAACCCACCAGCTTGGGCTGTGCCTCACACTGTGATGCTGATGTCAAGCTAC